GGTTTAGGGTTTAGGGGGGGTTCAGGTTTTAGGGTTTCGGGGCTCAGGACTGGGCCTTAACTTTGTGGTCGCAAGTGTATCACAGCTTAGGGCTTAGGGTTGACTCCCCCCCTTTCCGGCGCATTTCTCAAGTGGCTGCAGCCTAGTCGCGCAAGGTCCGCTGACATGTAGCAGCCTTGGCCGAATCCGTAGACGGCGAAAAATCCCAGCAGCACGGTCTGGGCCCAAGGGGAAGGCCGTCAAGCGGGCGGGGCGATTGCCACGTTAGGGTTCCGCGGCTTCCGACAAGAATGGGCAAGAAAGGCTTGGAGAAGGTCCATCACTCGACGGTTGGGCACGATCTTCCGGAGTTCGAAGGACTTCTCAGTTTCAAAAATGCTAGTTTAATGAATCACAACTACTACTTTTGCGTCCTAGAACACCGGAGCCCGGAAAAACCTTGTCTCTCGGGTTCTGCTTACTATAGAGGTCGGGACAGTTGCTAATGATCTTCCTTCATGCTCCCTGGATAATCTGTTTACGATGATATCCCCCAAACCAAGATTTTGATGATTCAGACACCCTATCCTAAACCCTAAACCCTAAACCATAGGCTCTTGCCCATAACGTTAGGAAGGCAGTCAGGACACAGCTCTCTCGAACCTGAACCTCAGGCTTCAAGGTGAAAACCTCCGACGCTCACAGCCCTACCGCTGATGATATAAGTCCTGCACTACCCATAACATAACCCTAAACCCTAAACCCTAAACCCTAAACCCTAAACCCTAAACCCTAAACCCTAAACCGACCGTACTTCCCATAGTTTAGGGTCCTTCAAGTAGTGCAGGATTTGGGTTCAGGGCTTCGGCCTCGGGCCCCGCATCCACAAGATCCAAAGAGCTATAAGCTCTCAGCAATCGACCCCCTAAAACCCTAAACCCCTAAAACCTAAACCCCTAAACCCTAAATCCTAAACCCCTAAACCCTAAACCCCTAAAGCCTAAACCCTAAACCCTGAACCACTAGACCCTAAACCCTAAACCCTAAACCCTAAACCCTTGAAACTCCCAGGGCTTCGGGTTTAGGCCTTGATTTTGTGCATTTTTCTCAGAGGCGGTGGGTGGTTTAGAGGGCCTTTAAAGAGGGTTTAGGACACAAACCCCCCAAGCTCCTCAACCCGAAAAGCCTCCGAAAACATGTCCCAAAAAGCACCGCTCATGCCTTGGAGAACAGTCCGGGGCTGAAGAAGGCGCAAATCCAGAACCTGAGGACGCAAAGCCGAAAATCAGGCAGGGCTTCAGCTTCGGGGAATTCAGGATTCCAGTTCCCGAAATATGGGGTTTAGGGTTTAGGGTTTAGGGGATTTAAGATCTGGGTTTGGGACCAAAGGCTCAGGAACTCTCAGTATGAACTGCTATGAGAATTCTGATAAGGTGGCTGTGATTTGTTTTTATATTTCCCAAATCCACCATTATTGGGTTGTGTCCTGGCTGGGTGTCAAGACCCTAAACCCGAAGCCCGAATCCCCAAATATGGTTTCAAATTTCAGGGGTGGCATTGCCCTCATCTGCTGTTTTGGGGCTTAGACTTTGTAGCGCTTCGGGTTTATAGGGCCTGCAGGGCTTTAGGCCTCATGGGTTTAGGGTTTAGGGTTTAGGGTTTTGACGATCGACTTCGGGATCTGCAAGGTAAGGCCGCATAAGCGGATTGCTTTCAACATGTTGTTGCTTCGCGGATTTCCGCCCTCTGATGCGAGCATTGCCGGTTGAGCCTGAGCTGCAGGTTTAAAGATTCGGGCCGTGGGGGGCTGCCCTTTTGGCCTACTTGCCTGAAGCCAAGCAACTGCGTACCGACCGCCAGCAGCACCGAACCAGCAAATGCCTGAAAAGCGATTTTCGAATGCAGCCAGCACCAAAAACACAATCCATGAAAACTGAATGCCTACATCGTGCTCACTCGGCCTGAAAACGATCCCTAAACCTGGAAAATACGCTAGAGGATGCCCGCCCCAACGACGCAAACTCCCTGCACAGGCTTTGCAGGATTTCGCTTCAATTTCGAGGCTGCTGTAAGCTCTTTTGCAGAGGGGTTATGGAGCTTTATCAGAAGCTAGGGTTTAGGGTTTGGGGCTTAGGGTTTAGGGCTTAGGGTTTAGGGTTTAGGGCATAATAGGGTTCCATCACCATGTGGCTTAGTAAGAGCTTTTGCAGTGCTTCCTGAAGCTCATGGGGCACGGGAACCTGGCTGTCGAACCAGGCAATGAGCATCCCAGGAGTCTTTGGCGACTAAAAAACACCGATTAAGAAACCCTGGGTCTTTTTTAGGGTTGTGTATATGAATCCTCGTATTTTGAAGTTAAAGGGCCAGGGTTTCTCAAGCAGGTTCCTAAGTTTGTATTTGGATAGATGATGTAGTAGTATAGTACCTTATACTGTGGCGCGCTTCTTCTATTCTAGTCTGCCCTAAACCATAAACTCTAAACCCTAAACTGTGAGAGTATAGTATATCGCTGGATCTGACACTGGTCTGGGATGGGCGTCATCAACGGCCGGCGATCCGGAGCTTAGCAGTGCGACCGTCGCCCCGTAAAGAACAACTCTTGCTGGAGTGCACTGAATATCACACCTCTAAGAGCGAAAAACTCTAAACCCTAAACCTTATAAGACCAAAAACCGCCCACTGCCTCAATGCCCTTCTCATGCAATCACGAAAAACTGGTCACTACGGTTGATGATACAAATCCTGCATCCCGTTAAGAACCCTAAACTATGGGAATTATGGTTTTTCCTTATTATGGGTAGTGCAGGATTTACA